TGTTTTTTTTTTGGTGGGAGACAAGTGGAATCATCAGATGTAGCTATGACAACACAGCTCCATCACCATAGTTATACCTGATGATACTAGATCTTGGCCAAGATATTTTATATTCATAAAGTAACAGGTTGACTGAGAATACTATCCTCCCTTTTGAAACAAAATCTGTGAAAAAATTCCCCCCCTGGGGGGGGGTTAACGTGCTTGTGAAATCGTGTCTGACTGTAAGGGGTAGTCCTCATCTCCGTTACTAAGCTGAAGAACCAGCATTGTCAAAGACAACTCTATGATCATGTGGTCCTCCTCATGACTGCACAGAACACTGTTACCTTACTACCAAAGTGATACCTGTTTATCTACTTGCTCTTTTACATGCTTTCGAACTGCTAGGTTGGTAGAAGCTGGGACTAGTGACAGGAGCTCACTCTGTTATGCAGTGTTTAGGTCTCGAACCGCTGACTTTGTGATCGTCAGAGTCAACAACTTAACTGCTGAGCCACCGTGCTCCTATTTTTCTCCTATAGCTTCAACCAGAAATGTTCCACAATTTGTGAAGATGGAGAAACTGATGCATCTGATTAGAGACGAATCTATAAATGGTGTCTTGAAAGAATGAAAATTATTTATAGAATATGTACAACAGAGCAGTGGGATACAATGGTTTTAATAATTGATGTTAAAATAAGGTAAGAATTGTATGTTAGTTAAAAGCTAAGATCAGAGTTTATGGATTAGAAAAATTAAGGTAGATTTTATCTAACTGCGTAGCCTTTTAAGAGGAAATGTGGAAGGTTAAATTAATGACTGCAGCAGAAGAAAGCTGGAAGTCTTTTACTGTGTTTACTGTCAGTATGTTTACTGTGTGTATATTAGTATGTGTTAGTTAATGTCTGCTGGCATTAGTAGTAATTTGATTTTTTCTCTTTTCTGGTGTTGGTGTGTATCTATCTTTTGATTTAATATTAAAGTTTCAATAAAAAACCCAAAACAAAACAGAAATTTTACATCTCCAATTTTCCAGGAATTTGTCTGCTAGCCCTACATACTTTTTACATCTGTTTAGGCTGAAAGCCATCACCACATTACACAGTATGATTATATGCTGTAAGAAGAGTTCTCCACACCAATTTAGGAAACATGGAATACAGTAGAAGGAGAACAGTAAGGCATTATCTCACATCTCTGAAAAATGATTAATCTGGAAGAATCCTATCTCCCAAAGAGCATTTTACATTTTATTCTTTTGGCATATATCAACTAAGAAAAAGGGTCCTTACCAGGAGAGGTCACATTTTTGTAGTTCTCCAGCATGACCTCCTTGTAGAGTGTTCTTTGGGCTGGATCCAGGATATCCCACTCTCCCCAGGAGAAATATATGGCCACCTCCTCAAAGGTCACTTGCCCCTGGAAGAAGAAACCAAGATTCCTTATTCTGAAATCATCTCCTTTTAATACATCCTCCTGTATTGGGGTGGGGGAATCTGGCTCTCCAAATGTTCTTGGATTGCAGTTCCCATTGTCTTGCACTATTGGTTATCTTGGCTTGATAGCTGTAGGCCAACAATGTCCACAGAGCCACAGTTGCCCAGCTCTGTCCTATATTCTGAGATTAATCTCTACACACACACACTTTTTTCTTCCAGTTTACATGGAAAGTGATCCTTGGACAGTTCTGTGGAGAAAATGGCTAACCATGGGGAAGATGATTCCTCCTCCTTCTCCAGTTATACAGAGACACAGCTGTGTTAGTCTGGAACATCAATGTGAAAAGGGATCTTGTAGCACCTTTGAGACTAACTAAAAGAAACAAGTTGTAGATTTTGTAGACTTAAAGTCTACTTCATCACTGTTCATCCCATGCATGTGAGGATGTAGACTGTGGGCTAGTATAGACTGGCACTAAAAGTCATCTTCAGGATGGCTGCGGGTGGCTTGGGGGTGTAGCGTGCATATGCCACATGCCCCCATGATGCCCTGAAGGCACCCAGAGCACACGTTACAAGCCGCCAACATGCTGTGAAGTTGCAGTGGGGCCTCAGAAGAGCCACTAAAGGTGGCTTTTCCATGGCTGAAAAAGGAACGGTTGAAAACCGCTCTTTTTTTGGCCAGCGCTGTGGCGAATTGGAGCTGCGGCGTGTGGCTGCCACGGTCCCAACCCATCTTCGGGTGCGGCGGCTTCACACTGCCCCTTCCAGGCTGTCTATTTCAGTCCCAAGTCAAAAAAAAAACTTATGCTACAATGTCTTCTGCTCAGTTAGTCTCAAAGGTGCTACAAGATCCCTTTGCAATCAAGTTATACAGTGTGCCCTTGGCATCCACTGGGGTTGGGTCCATGATCCCCAGTGGATACCAAAATCCGTGGATGCTCAAGTCCTGTTATATTCAATGGCATTGTAAAATGGTGTCCCTTATGTAAAATGGCAAAATCAAGGCTTGCTGTTTGGATTTATTTATTTTTAAAAAATATTTTCAAGCCATGGATGGTTGAATTCATGAATACAAGATCTGTGGATATCGGGGACGGGGGCGGGGGCACTGTATTCTGCCTTTTGGAATTATGGCAGCTTACAGAATATTAAAACCAGAACAAATTAAAAACATACAAAGACATCAGTAATATACATACAAAAGTATTCAAAGGGATCTTATAGCACCTTTAAGACTAACTGGCAAAAGAAGTTGCCACATAATCCATGGGCATTACTAGGGGACTGCGGTCCACACCAGGTGACACCCGAAGGGGGAGTGATACCACTGCTCCCCAAACATCTACTTTTCGGCAGAAATGGGCTGTTTGCCTGTGAGCTTTTAAAATGCTGAAGAGATTATGTAAGTGAGTCGAGGCTCAGTGGAGGAGAAAAGAGGCCCCAGATTTAAAAAATAAAAATAAAAATAAAAATTTAAAATGTAAAAAACATTTAACATTTTCTTTAAAACATCACATCTTAACAAATTTTCACGTTAACTACATGAAACTATGTACATGTATATACACTTAGGCTGTGCATATGACATTGTAATTTAAAGGTATAATTTCCCTAGTTGTTTATGTCACAACTATTGCTATTACATTCAGTGATATATGGAAATGACTATGAGTAACACAACCTTACTACGGATTCTGTATTGTGTGGTATAGGAGAAGGTCAATATGGCAGGGGGAAGGTGACACCATGAGATACTGCATCTACTGATGCCAATCCTAGTGAAACCATTGGCATAAGCTTTTGCAAACTTGGTGTACTTTCTCAGATGCATGGAGTGAACTGGTGCTCAGTTAATCTCAAAAGTGGTATAAGATCCCTTTGCATACTGATATTACTGATCCCTCTGCATACTGATAACATGGCTATGTCTCTGAATTCTACATACTGTACATATAAAAGTTATTTTAAAAAGAAAACAGTCTAGAAAATTAAATAATTTAATAATAATTAAAGGACAGGATACAAAAACCAATAAAACATTAAAAGCCCATTGGAATCAATTCCGGCCTAGGGCCCAACGCTTACCAGCCCCCGTGGACCCCTGCCACCGCTGCCGCGCGTTTCAGTCACCACACAGCCGCGCATGTCGTGAACGCCATTTTGTTTTCCAAAATGGCGGCCGTGACGCGTTTGTGCATGCGCAGGAGTATGTGGCGGCAGCGGCAGCACACGCGAGGGGTTGCGCGCACGCGTGCTGCCATTCTCCCCCCCCAGCCCACCGGAAGAACAACTTCGGGGGACTGGCCCCCAGCTCAAAAAGGTTGCCTACCACTGGAATAGATAGAGGAAGAAGGAGCCTCTCTGGGGAGGGAGTTCCAAAGTCCGGGAGCAGCCACCAAGAACATCCGTTCTTTGTACTCATTAGATGAGCCAGGGAAGGAAGTGGGACTGAGATAATGGCTTCTTCTGGAGATCTTAAGAGCTCAAGCAGGCACACTTTGGGAGATATTATACTTCAGATATCCTAGACCCAAGCTGTGTAGGACTTTGTCATAGCTGGTGCTTTGAAACTGATTGGCAGCCAGTGGAGCAATTGGGGCAGGGGAGTTTACATGTTACAGCCTTACTTGGTACAATATCATCCAAAATCCATAAAACAGTGATAGCCTTTATTGGGCCAACCAACATGCACACATATTGCATGCTCTTGAAGCTCCACTGGCTTCTTCATCAGGCAAAGGTGTTAAAAATCATACAGGAGAAAGAAAGAAAGAAAGAAAGAAAGAAAGAAAGAAAGAAAGAAAGAAAGAAAGAGTGACCATATTAGTCATGGTCAAGATGTTGTAATCCTCGGTTCAGATGGTACAGGAAAGTGAATGAAGGGTATAAGAAGAAGCCAGTGGAGCTTTGAAAGCTTGCAACATGTATAATGGACATTTTGGTTGGCTCAATAAAGGTATAACTATTTTGTAGATTTTGGATGATATTGTACTTTGCTATAAGGCCAGCATGGCTATTCCTGGATATGCCTTCTTACTTGGGTCATTCAAATGTCCTATAGCCCCCAAAGGAATTCAAACCCACTCCTTTCCTTCTGTAGAGAGATCTTGTAGCACCTTTGAGGCAAACTGAAATAAAGAAGTTGGCAACATAATCTCAAAGGTGCTACAAGATCTCTCTACATACTGATTCTACAGACTAACACAGCTATATCTTTGAAATCTTTCCTTCTGTCAACAAAGGAGGAAGAACACACTCCATTCAGGTGCATCTCTTGGGTCACCCTGATATATCGCAATCCCAAAAGCAATTCAGACTCTCTCCCCTCCCCTTCTCTCAACCCAAAGGAAACAGCCCCTGCTTACAGGTGCTACCTCCAAGAGGATTCCTTCCTTACCTGAGTGGGCTGAATGGCAGCTCTTTCTTCTCCATTGCAAAGAAGGGTGGACCGAGATTGAGTCAGTGATGCCATTGCACTGGAAAAGAAAAGTGGCATGAGCTAAACTGGTGGCTGGGCTCTGATATAGCCGAGACATGCTATTTTTTCTGCATCTGTGAATAACAGTGTGAAAACCAGGAAGGCATAATGGTTTGAGCGTTGGACTACAACTCTGGAGACCAGGGTTCGAATCCCTGCTGAGCCACGAAACCCACTGGGTGACCTTTGGCAAGTCACACTCCCAGACTCAGAGGAAGGCAATTGCAAACCTCCTCTGAAGAGAATTGCCTAGAAAATCCCTTTATAAGTTTGCCTTAGGGTTGTTAAAAGTTGGAAAGACATGAAGGCACACAACAACAACATGTGGGTCATGATGTAGCTTATAGAAAATATCCAACACTTCTGTATATTTTAAGATCCTACATGTCAATGGCTGAGATCCTACATCTGTCCCTTGTCCTCTCCTCTTTTCGTCCTTTCCCAGCCTTGGAAGCTGTCAAAGCCCCAAGAAGGACTATAACATCTGCTGCCTAATGATAAGGAAGGATGGGAATTCAAACAATCAAGAAGCAGCCAGTCTCAGCTTCAAGGTGAATGGAAATGAGGAAACCTTTTCTTCCCCTAAGAGACCACAGCATCTTTATCCTTGGAATTATCTCCCTTCCATCCTTCCCAGTAAGCAGCAATGTCCCATCTTCAGCAAAACAGCTGCTGGGAAGAGGAGATTTTAGACAAGGAACAAAAAGCTAGCATTGATTCTCAAACTCTGGCCTTCCAGGTGTGTTGGACTTCAGCTCCCAGAATCCCAGACTATTGGCCAAGATGGCTGAAGCTTCTGGGAGCTGAAGTCCACAACTGGAGGACCAGAGTTTGGAAATCACTGGAAAGACACAGCCCCCAAGCCCTATCCAAAAAGAGGTATGTGAACACATAAGACACATGCATACATACATATGTTACTAAGGTCCAAAACACACTGCAGAAATAATCGAGTTTGAGACCACTTTAACCACCCTGGTTCAATTCTGGGAATTGTAGATTGTGGTGACACCAAAGCTCTCTGACAGAGAAGGCTCAATGTCTGACAAAACTATATTTCCCAGAGTCCCCTAGCACTTAACCAGGGCAGTTAAAGCAGTCACAATCTGGATTATTTCTACAGTGTGTATTTATTATTTATTTAATTATTTTCTATGTCCCCTTTCTCCCAAAAGGGACCCAAGGTGGCTCAAAATATAAAA